GACCTCTCGGGCCGCCCCGAAATGGTGAGAGGAGATGCAAAATCTGGAAGCGGAGCAACTGGAGATGAAACAGCCCAAAGCGCAGCCTTTTTGTGAAAGCTTAAATTCCTGAAACGGTACCGCAGAGCAGCAGAAGGGCTGCCAGCACCAGGGAGCATCCCAGGGAAAAGGCCAGCGTGGGTGTGAGGCTGCCTGGGGACACGCTGGGATGGGAACTGGAGGACCTTTCCCCCCCCACTTTGGGGACCTCTCCCGCGGCGAGATGAAGGAGCAACGGGGGTCAAGCCCTCGAATGCCTTCAAACGGAGGGGGAGTCATTTGAAAGAGTAGCTGGGGGTACGAGCCTTTGCTAAACACAGCGTACAGCCAGGGGAGAGCCCCCTCCCTCTCCCCCCTGGGCGGCAGGGCTGGCTGGTTCTGCAGGCTCATGCGAAAAAAAAAAGACATTCAACATCTGGTTTTAGGAAAATTTAGGGGTTTTATAGGCCAAGGATGAAATCTGGAGGCTATACTTAGTAGCAGACAATGCAGTCCCCCTCCCAGAAGTTACTCACTCCCTCATGCTCCTCCCTCCTGCGTGAAGCAATTAGGTGCCCCGAAAATGTCCGGCGTTGGCAGCAATTATGCCCCGAGACCCGCGGCCGCTCGATGGTCAGTGCCTGCCTCGCTGAGGACAAGGGCTATTTTTAGAGGACAAAGGGAAATCGCTGGTAACATTCCGTTATTTTCAGAGCCCAGAGAAAAGGCACAGGATGCTCCCCCATGGACACCGAGGGGGGAGCGGAGCAGCGGGGACACCCCATGCCAGAGGTGCACAGCCCCACATCTCCATCCCCATCCCTCTCCCAGGGTGTCTGGAGGAGGGAGGGATGGCAAAAGGCAGGCAGGCTCCAGGGCAGGTCCCAGGGATGCCGCAGGCTCCTGGCAGGTGGCAGTAGCCTCCGTGGTCCCAGCGTTAGGGTGGCACGTGGTCACATCCAGGCCCGCAGGATGGTGGCATGTGCTGGGAGAAACCCCTCAGGAAGCTTCAGTGATGCTGCTTCCCCATGGGAGAACAGGGGCTCTGCCATCATCTTCATCATCTTCTCCAGGAAATCAGGATTTCCCTGCAAATCACAGTGAGCTCATCACATCAGACCGAGCTGACGGCCCTTATCTTCCTCCTCTGCCACTCGTGTCTCAGCGCTCGGGAGCGGGTTGGAGAGGATCAATGTGCTGAGGATCAGGAGATGCTCAGGTAACTGGGGAAGGGGACCTGGAAAGGCTGTGGTTGTTAGTACCTCACACAGCAGCTTTCCTTGGTGCCAGGATCAGCAAATCTGGCAAAAATCGAGAACAAAAGAGCTGGCTAATTAAGTTCCGAGGAGTTTAATTAGCGCTAGCGGCATGGGAGGTGGGAGGGTGGCCCTGGGTGTTGGAGAAGGGGACGGCTGCAGCACAAACCCTCTAGCAGACACGGGAGAATCCCCACGCTTCACCCAAAAACACCAACTCAGGAAAAAGCAAATGAAGAAATGAAGAATCTCCCTTGCCCATGCGCTGGCAGAGAGCCTGGGGAAATCCTCACGGGAGGGCCTGGAGAGGAGCTCTCGGAGGCAGCAGCTCTGCCGGTGTCCCCACACTCAGCCCGAGGCTGGATGCTGTCCTGGGGGGGTGGTGGGTGGTGGGAATTATTAGGAAAAAAGGCAAATCACCTCTTGTTCAGCAGCCCGGCCAGGGCCAGCGTGGGGACACGGAGAGCTGTGGGCTAATGGCCCATGGGGATGGTGGAGCCCAGCTGATGGTGGCCCCGTGCAGCGCTGACCCCTCCACCCTTCCCACTGGGACTGCTGGGTGCACCCAGCTCCATGACAGCCACCGAGGACACTGAGCAGAGCCCACAGTGTCCCCTCCCACTGGCTCCTACAGGTTGGGGACGCTGCCCAGGGCTCACCAGGGTGCGTGGCCCTCCCATCTGCAACCCTTACTGGGGCCACCGCTATGTCCCCACGGATTTCAGGAGCTCCTGTAGGTCCCCCCACACCTCCTCCCAACACAGGAGGACTGGAACTGGATGCCACTTTCACAGAAATCACCAAAAACCAGGATTGAAAGCATCAGCTCATCGATTCCCCTGCCCAAGGCAGCAGTTGCCTTAACCTGTTCTCCGGAGCTGGGCAATGCCGGAGCGGAGAGCACGATCGATAGAACACGTTCGTTAAATTCATACAAGTTTTATCACTTGTATGAAGCCCAGGAGCGTTTCAAAGAGCCAAAGTGATGCAAACAACTGTCACTTTATTGTCATTTCCAGCCGTACCGCAAAAGGCACACAACAAACTTCATCATTGGTACAAAATCATTTCGCTGCGGGGTTTTCTGTAGAGTTTTCCTTGTGTTTTGGTTTGTTTGTTTGTTTTTTTTCTCTTTTGCAACACAGTCACTGGCTCTCCCATCGCCCTGACGGGAAGATCCTTTCACAGAAAGGACTATTTCGTTCGTGCAGACAGATAGCTCATTATTGCAGGGGGGGAGCAGCACGAAGAGCAGGCGGGCACAGCCACCCTGTCCCCAACGGGACCTGGCGCAGCCACCCGCGGAATAAATGGCACCTCTGTGTCCCCCCAGCTCCCCAGCACGGCCCCACCGGCTCACCCAGCACCGCTCCCGCTTGCCCAGGGGTGAGCTCCATCGCAGCCCCCCCCCACCCC